AACTGGAGTTCCTATTTCGGTCTCCGTGCCCTGGGGAGAAGGCCCCGGGGGGAACGGGGTGGCATTTCCACAGGACGCCACACGCTCGCATGCACTAAACCAGGTTTCTCAACTTTGGCACTAAAGTGCGTCTGGATGGTTTAAAAAAAGACGTGTCATTCAAAAGCAAGGCATGAATATGTCAAAGAAACTGAAGGTTAGTTAAGATGTACATTTAGAAAGACTGACAAATGAGCTTTATCTGTTGCAAATCATATAACCTATAAAGATTAATTGTATATAATATCAAGTTATCTTTCAAATATCACAGTTGAAGCTTCATCTTTTCCTTCTTTTCTTACATTTTTATACCCAGTGAACGAGTCAAAATTGGAGATTAATATTTTAAACACCCAAAGAAGCCAGCTGCTCGCTCTGGTCTCCGACTCAGTTGAGCTCTTACAATATTTTGACGTTTGGAGAATGTTAACAATGGGGTGTTAGGTGGCAGATTAACTGAAGCCAAATATCAACAGAGCTAGATTTATTTTCGGACGACTGAGCTCATCTCTCCGAAGAACGGAAGCTGGATTTGTGACACCACGAGTTGTTACCGTATGTCACACCGCGGCAGCCCCTGCCCCACCCCACCCCCGAGCGGAGACGGCCAGCCGCGATGCTTTGGAAAACTAGAGGCCGAAGGTTTACATCCACAGCAGCTGGGGCGCGGCATGCACGGGCCACAGTCAACTGTGGAAGACTCGCAGAGATGCTGAGGAGGTCAAGGCCATAAGCGTCCTGACCATTTGGGAACCAAACTGGTATTAATGCCTTATTCCTTCCTGTCCAGGAAGCGGTCCCCACTGCAGCCAATATGGACAGACTGACACATGTGAAGAGAAAGATGCTTTTACCCATCAGTCGTGTCTTCCCTCAGCAAAGATTTCCTGAGCATCTGCTCATCCCCCACCTCCTACACACACACTGTCTGCGTGCCCGTATGCATGAAGAGGACACACGCGTGTACTCTACGTCAGACACAGTGCCCAGGCCGAGGAGAGGTGACTGCTCCTCAATTTCCAACAGGTTCTGCAGCCCGATGCCTCTGGGCCAACAAGGGAAAGCTGGTTAAGCTTCAGGTGAGCCAAACGGACGCCAGTGCCTGCGAGAGGGCCAAGTCCACCCGCCCCGTCCACGTTTCCCGTCTAGTCGTGAGGACACTGGTGCTGATGCCGGGGGCTCCCAACTACAGGCCGTGGTGCGTCCGGGGGGCTCCCAACTACAGGCCGTGGTGCGTCCGGGGGGCTCCCAACTACAGGCCGTGGTGCAGGGGGGGGCTCCCAACTACAGGCCGTGGTGCATGGGGGGGGGGCTCCCAACTACAGGCCGTGGTGCGTCCGGGGGGCTCCCAACTACAGGCCGTGGTGCATCCGGGGGGCTCCCAACTACAGGCCGTGGTGCGTCCGGGGGGCTCCCAACTACAGGCCGTGGTGCGTCCGGGGGGCTCCCAACTACAGGCCGTGGTGCGTCCGGGGGGCTCCCAACTACAGGCCGTGGTGCATCCGGGGCCCCTCTGCTTCTCGGTGAAGGAGGAAACATTCAGGACCACCAAAACCTAACTTCTGGTCATGGGCTCTGGAGTTCAGTGGCTATCCATCTTCCCGTGGACGTGCACTGAAAATCTGAAGACCCCTCTATGCCAATGTGCCCAAACCAGAAGACCTCTACGTCAGCAGTAAGGTCAGGAGGACGCACTCCTCGTGGAGGCCGGGCCACTTCACCACAGGCACCTCTGGACCCCCATGCACACCCTGTGGGCACCACGCTGCCACAGTTCACGGCTCGGGCGGCACTTGGAAACAGCCGTCTGCTCCTCAGCTGCGGACACTCTCACCTCCCCTGGACTGGCCACCTCTGGCTCCTTGGTGAGGCTGAGGCTTGAAGGCACAGTCGGATGTGGGTGCCACAGCACCCACGCCACCGGGCATAAAAAGCAATACTGGAAAGCACCTGAACCCACAGGGGCGGGGAAAGAACGAGGTGGGCTCAGCCCCTGGAGGAATGCTGCCGAACAAGGAACTGTCCCAGCGCCAGGCCAAGCGCAGGCCCACCCCAGGAGCCACATCCACAGCAGGAGGCTCCTTCGTGACCTCGACCCGGCAAGACCAATGGCACATCGCCTGGGGCACAGGTCCGTGCAGGTGGACGAGGCGCAGAAGAGGCCGATGGCCAGGATGGCCGTGACTCTGGGAGTGGAGGCCGGGACCAGGGAGAGGCATACACGGCTTCCTCTGCTCTTACAGAGTGGTGCGCCCATGGTTTCTGTTTGATAACCAACGGTACATGACACACAATCCTTTGTATCAAATTACGTAATAAAGCTTTTAAAAAATCATCATCCTGCCAACAAGGCAGTCCAGCTCTGCCTGGCTGTCCAGCTCTCACTTGCCACCACCAGGAGCTGCACCCGCCAGGGGACAAGCCCCCTGCAGGCCTGGGAGCAGCGTCCCGCGCCGGCCCCAGAAGGGCCCCCACGTTCCTGACTAAGGGGAGAGTGCAAAGCAGCAGCGACAGCCACCCAGAGGGTGGCGGCGAGGCTCCTGCTCGGTCGCTCTTGTTTAATTGGCAAAGTGCTGCTTTCCCGCCCCACCTCTCTACCCCTGGCAGCTAACCCCCCAGCCCCACGCGGGGTGGGGGGGCTGTCGAGGTGTGACCCTCCCCCACCTGGGTTGTATGAGCACAGGTATGGATGGAAGGCAGCTCATGACAAATCATTTGGGGCTCAGGGCCCCAGAAGGACCACCGTCCTGCTCCTGACGCCCCTGAAAGTATCCCGGAGTGTGTCCCTTATGGCAGGTTAGCTCTATCTTCACGTCTGTAAACATCTGGCATCGTTACAAATAAAGACAGGAAAGCCAGCCCTTTCCTTGCTTCCGTTAGAGCAGGTTTCTGTGGACTGCACTGGAGGCAGCCTGGCGGCCTCCTGAGGAGGCGCCGTTTGATTGAAGCATAGGCCAAGGCCAAGGCAGGCCAGAGGACACACTGGCAGACACTGCCTGCATGAGCCTGCACAGCCCGACCAGTTGCTCCCACTACTTCCCGGCTTCCCCAGGGACACAGAGCTCCAGGCGAGCGCAACCCACCCCAGCTCGGCTCCAGACAACATGTCCAACCCCAGTACGAACCTGCTGGGGTGGTGCCCTGCAGCCGACAGTGGGGGACCAGGGCACTAGCGAGGGGGGCAGGGGAGGTGGCAGCTGCCGGTCCTCCCAGGCGGGAATGCCCTTCGGCCTCGAGATGATGTGGCAGCAGTGGAGGCCCTCGAGACCTGCGGTCCATAAGATGCCATCTCTGAAAAGCAGAGGCCCCATAAAGCCATCATGCTGAAAGTAGGACCGCCCTCCCGGCAGTCCGATGCTGAGGCAGACCACCCACTGCTATTCCTGTAGGGAAGCTCCACGTTCTGTGAACCCCCGAGTCCCCTAGGAAGGTTGACAACTAACTGGCTAGACCACAGCGTCTGAATTAGCCCCTCACTGGTGGGGGTTGGGGGGTGGAGGGGTACAAGGACATAAAATGGGATTCTTCCCCAAACTCTCTTGTCAGTCTATTAAAACAGCAGCTTCCCGAGAGAGTGGACAAGGCTCACGGTCACCGTGAAACCCACGCTGGCCCTCTCAGGTGGAAGCGCCGCCCACACCCCAGACCTGTCTGCCCGTCATCCGGTTCTCCTGCTCGCTCCCTTCAATGCCAAACCCCTGCCTGCCTCGTGAAATGGAAGCTCAGTGACCCAGGGGTGATGAGAAAACCCTATTTCACCGAGGACGCGTTCATTTTTGTTTTCATTAACTCTGGTCCCTGTCAAGCGCGCTGAAAGCAGGGTTTGTTCTAGCTGCCGGGTCCAGAGAATCTTACAGTTTAGACAATTTCTATGCTGAACGGAGGCAGAAAACACTTTATGTCCTGCACACACAGACTGTTTTTCTATTAAAAGAATACAGCGTTACCTCATTCACTGTGTTTTCACAGAAAGGATTTTAAAGAAAAGTAGCATGCTACCCAGATAAACTTTACCCCACGAGGTAGCCCATGTCCAACAAGCCCACTCTCCCTTTCCCGAGAGACATGCACACGTGGTCAGCCTGTGTCCCGGGTGGAGGGAGGGAGCGCGAGGCAGCTCGCCCTGGGGACGTTCTTTCTGGGAGTTTATAAAAGCAGGACGCTGAAGTGCGGGCTGGACCCACGAGGCCCCAGAGGCTGAAACACCCACAGGCCTGGCGGCACCTCCCCGATACCCGTCAGAACCCATCTCTCTTGTTCAGTTAATCCTGCTTTCTGTAAAACATGGTGCTCCTCAAAATCTGCGTGCAGGGGGATTCCACACGTGCGAGTCTCGCACAGACCCTTCGCGGGGCCTCTTGCCGCCAAGTCTCCGCACCTTTCTGATGGATGCCCTGATTCGGCACTGCTGCCCCACTCCGTTCCCCAAACACCGGTCTCCGGTGAATTCACGCAAACGCACACACCCGCGGGGAGGTTACGAGGCCGACTGGCTCACAGCAAACCAACAGAAACCACGAAGGTGGGGGCTGTCAGTGGTAAGGTCTCAGAACACTTTCCTGAAATCCGCAATGGGTTTTATGAAGGGTTCCCCACAGACCCTGCATCTGTCTTAAGAAGGTGTTTTCTTTAGCAGGGTCCAATAGTTGAGCCAGCTCCTGTCCTTGGGACACCACACAAGAGATTCGCCAGGACGCCAGGAACCGACCGGCAGGTGAAATGGGCTCAGAGTGTCTTTCCTCTCTGGTTAAAGCGTAGAAGGGCTCTGCAATTTTGCTCAAAAGCAGAGTTTTGAAGTGCAGGGTTTCTGCACCACAGAATGCCGACGAGGAGCAACGCGCCACCCGCCCTGAAACCGGGATTTAATTCCCATTCCATGCGCCCCACAACGCAGCACTGGCGTTTCAACCCTGAGGCCAACTTCCTGCCACATGTCCCGAGGGTGGTCAGCTGGAACTTACCAGAAGCATTGCTGATGTTCCGTTGGGTCTGGACAAATGGATGGACATCTCTGGAAACATCCTGTCGATGCGGCTGATCACGTCATCGACGTATCTGAGTGGGAAAAGGAAACACCATGTGTGAAATGAGCCCCGGTCAAACCAAGGCAAGTCCACGGGGCTCTAAAGCTTCTCTTTGCAACTTAATTTTTAATTAATGGAATACATTTTCAAGAAGGTAAATAGGCCAACATGGCTTTTGATAAAAATACTACACCCCTGTTCCTCCTCCTGCCTTCCAGAGCTAACCACTTTTTAGCGATTTCTCTGGTGTTCTACCTAGTGTGTTCTCAGTACCAGTCCTTGCCTTTTCATCTTGGGGCGTGGCCTGGCGACCTTCTCCCACAGGAGATCAGAATTCGGCTCGGTCACCATGCTGGCCACTGGGCTCCACGTGGCAACAGAAGCTCCTCCCTCTGGCCTCCAGCGTCAGGATGGCAGCTGCTTCCTGGGCCCAGCCCTGGTCACCTCACCGCTTTCCGTTTGGTTTCTCAGCTCAGTCACCAGAACAACCCATTTCCAGGACTGAGTTCCTCCCGTCCTCTGCACCTGAAGTCACCTCTGGTTTACTGGTGGCACCCTAACTACTCGAGCTGTATCACGATTTGTGCTCATGCGGGTGTGTTCACAGCCCGCGTGCTCGGGTGTCGGAGCCGCAGCGGCTCACGGGCGGTGTGGTTTGCTGGGGGCGCGGCCTCTGGTCTTTCTGCCTTGCCTCTCACTTGACCTGCTGTCTCGGCGCCTACCCCAACGCTCTCCCTCCACCCTCCACCTGACCCCACACTTCTCTCAGCACAGTCACACACACTGGGCGACCCGCCAGCTCGTTTCCTTGGGGACCTTCCTCCAAAAGGGAGCCCTCTGTCCCTCTGTCCCAGAGGGAACCTGCATCTCTTAAGGCCCACTCATCACGGAGACAGCTGACCGGAAGCACTCGGCACAGAGCCGGCTCATGGAAGAACCCCAACTCTGCGGCTGGTACACCGTGGGCCTCTTCTGCAGGACGGACCGTCCCTCCCGGGGAGGCGCCCTGTGGAAAGGCGCCAAGCCGCAGCATCAGCAGGGCTGGGTCTGGCTCAGACCCTTTGGGAGTGAAATCACACCGGCCTCTGTGCCACCATCTAATCCACTGGCCACAGAGGGGATGCATAACACAATAGTAGGGATGCAAAACTATCCATTAAGGACTCTGCATTGGATTTGGTATCTGTTGGATATGACAAATTAAATTACATGTCCATTAGATAAGGGACATGGAAAAGCTCTGTTCTCTCGGGGAAACAGGGAGATTAGCTCTCCACTCACCGCATGAAATGATTCTGGTCTGAAACCTGGGGCTCCTGAGAGGCAGCAGGCAGCGTAACGCCCTTTGTTGAAAAAGTGAACACAACGTATCAGCTATGAAAGTCGGAAAATAATCCTAATGATTAACTTCCCGGGTTCTCCTTAGAGAGCATGATGCACAGTTTTGAACTTTGAGTTGAGAAAGGAAGAGAAAAATGATAGAAGGCCGGGGGTAGACAAGGAATCAGTGGTAAGGAGACCGGCAGAGACGCCTGCGAGGGGGTGGAGGTGCGCTGCAGGCTGTCTGCTGCCGGGGGGAGGGCTGGGGAGTCCGGGGCCCTGCCAGTGCCAGAGCGGCCGCCTCCGGGAAAACGGAGAGGAGGATAAGGCTTTCAAAGGCGAACTAGCTCAGAGAGCACAAGAGGTGTCTCTCAAAAGCCCCATTTGGGTGAGTGAAAGGGGCTAAGAGACCGAGACCAGGAAACCACGCCTCCCGTCCCAGTCGCCCTCTAGATTCACGGTGGCAGGACACACGACCCCGGCTCTAGGTGAAGTGCTACAAAAGGTAGAAGGCGGAGACAGAGGACAGGAACTCATTTTTCATCACTGCCTGTCATTTCGAGACATGGTGAGAGACACTCGGCAAACACCAGGTCCCTGGAAACGACATACTTCTCAATCTAGTGCGCAGATTAACTGCAGCCACTTCAGACTCAGCAGGAAGCAAGAATCCGCAGTCCTGAGTGAATGGAGGTCACTGACAAGTGTATGCTAATGCAGACGTAGGCGACACTTCTGAACCAATCCTCAATCAATAGCCACCCCAGCTCTGGACAGCAGAATGCAAACGCACACCTAGAACTTTGGTATGAGGGTAACTTCATCACTTGCTCTCCCCATGCCCTTCACCTTGACGGGTTCAAAATACTTTCCGGAAGACTTATCTCCTCACTAGACTAGGAAATAGGGAACAAGTAGGTTAAGTGATGATTCCAAGGAACCAAGAAACCCAGAAACCGAGCTCGGCATGCAGGTTTCTAGGACACCTTCGGGCAGGGCCGGCGCTCTGCGTGGGTAGACACCACATGTCCCTTGCCTTTTTGGACTCCTTTTTCATTCTGTCATGGGTTCTTTACTTGTAAAGGAAGACGGTGGCAAGAGAAAAGAGTTTCTATGAAAAATGCCTGCTGCCAGCACAGGAAAGTGGAGAGGCCTGGACTGGTATTTCCTTCCTCCCAACCCATGACTGCAGAAAAAGCCCAGCAAACTCAATCCGAAGATTTTATTAAGCAGAAATAGTTTTCAAGGAGACTGTTTTTCATTCACACGCCTAATGTAAAGGAGATGCAAATTTCCTTTTTTACAGGTGACATTATGTGTTTGCCAAAGAGAGAAAAATCAGCTGTGCTTTAACTGAGGAAACCACAGCCAAATCCTAGAAGCAAAAATCAAAACATTTCATCTTCAAGTTGACGCAGCTTTCAAACGCAAACCCACCGCTCGCAACTTGACAGAGACACAGAGCTGGAGACAAAGCCCAGGGCGCTGGCACTCGAGGTGGCCCTTGGGGGGGGGCTCCCCGAATGCCGCCCCCCGGGCGGGCGCCCGCTGAGGCACAGGACGCGCCTCCTCCCACACGCCGCCGCCGCATGCTCCATCGGCTCTGTGGCAGGACTGGGTTCATTTTTACCTTTGGAAACAAGGCAGATGAGCAGTAACACAGCAGTGGTGACTCGTTTACACTTGAGCAGATGCCGCGTGGAAAGATTAATTTAGTGCCAAATTGAGCAGTGAGTCACAATTTGCACATATCTGTCAACCTGTTAACAGGGTAATAACTTGGAGGGAGCGCTGTTCCTATTCACACCAGAGAAGCCTGTGGAATGGAGAGTGGCTGGGTTCTCTGATGCATGGGGCTTAACGGTCCAAGAACGGGGCTAGGAACACGGACCCCTAGAAATCACAGGCCACGTCAAGGTGTGACTCGTCGCTTGGGTGTTTTCAGGCAGAAAATTCACTTTCAAGCAATTGAAGAACCCCACCTCCCTCCCTGCTCCCCAGTTCCAGTCAGACTCTCAGGGCTCTCCGACCCATTCTCTGCCAGGACCGTCCAACTGGCTCTGCGAAAAGCGTCTACGGGCTTCCCTGGACTCGGCTCCAGAGCCAGCTCCCTCGCCAGCTGCGTCAGAAACAGACAGGCCATCCTCAGATGCCAGCGTTAACTTCTGAAGCCCTTAAACCTCGTTCTGCTTTTCATCAAGTAGCTTGGCCTGCTCCTTTAAATGTCCTTCCTCAGAGAATTAAAGAGCGCTGGGCCCTCAGAGGCCCCTTCTCTGACGCCCTCCACCCAGGACTTTCACGGGGAGGACACCCCCAGGACACCTCCCCAGGCACCCGGCATTGCTGGCCTGCTGGGGTATTTCAGGCCGGCCGCCCGGTGACCCTGCTGGTTTTGGGGAATGGCGCTGATGTTTCCTCCAAAACCCAGAGGCTCCCTGCAAACATGTAAAAGACTATTGGGTTCATCTCCCCACCAAGGTCAAGGACCTGGTTGCATGACCTTGGAGGGCACGAGGCCCTCGCAGCCACACGCACGCCTGCTTTCCAGATGCTCCTTGCCTTCTGCGTCGCTGTGTACGGCCCAGCTCAGGGTGAGCTCAAGCCTCGAGTCCTAGGAGGGCCTAACAGGCCCCGCAGTCGGCTGCTGTCTCCACTGCCCCCGGGCCCGGGCCTCCTCCTTCCTGGAAGGGCCCCCCGCAGGCCGGCATGGCTTCGCACACTGCGCACGTTCTGCACTCTCTGCCTGCAAGACTCTTGTCACAACAGCGTCCGCCCGTGTCCCGGCCAGTCCTGCTCAGCTGAAACACCAGCGGCTCAGGGAAGTCTCCCCAGCACCTTCCCGGCCCCCATCAGTCACAGCGTCTCCTCTCCCCCCTCACGGTGCTTTTAAATTCTCCCCTGTGTCTCCTGCCCTGGTAGTAATTGAGCAGTTTTTCCAGTGACTGTTTAATGTCTTTCTTCCCAGCAGGACTCTCCACGGGGTCTCATGACTGCCTCCCTCAGTGCTGGACCCCAGCACTGCACCGCCGGCCCGGTGCCGGCGACGCACGCCCTCACTGTTGGCTGCACCCAGCAGCCGGGACACGAAAAGTCAGCCGTGTGGACCCAGGCGAGGCAGCTAGGAAACAACTCAAGTGCAAAGTTCCTTCAGCAGACTCGAACAGATCCGAGGCGCTGGGAGAGTCCCCTGCATCGGCCACCAGAAGTCACCGATAACAGCAACCAGAGAGCCGCACATGGCAAACGTCAAAGAAAGTGGCACAGCATCTTCAAAGTCTCAAAGCCTAAAACGTGGCCACAAAACCCCCGCACCTGTTCTGGTGGGAGCTCAATGCCCCTCAGAAGCCAGAGCCTCCTGGGGGAGTGTGCGTGCGCGCGCTGCTGACACGCCAGCTCCAAAACACCGCTTCTAACGAACTAGTTCGTCCTGCAAAAGCATTAGTACAAAGATGCGTGCTACCAAATCGGAATCACAATGCCAGAACGGTAATAAAACAGAATGTGGAAGGCCTCTCTAAAGATGCTGGTTTCACAAAACATTAATTTTCTACTCTACACGTTAGAACAATGGTAAATTATTTGTTATTAAAGCCTTAAAATAATTTGCTGGACAGATGGCTCAGTTCTCTAGAGTCTGACCCTTCCTAAAAAAAAAGGCGGCAAACCTGGCCTCCTGCCAGTGCTCCCCGGTGAGCAAGATGCAACTCTGGC